AATTTACTAGATTTTTTTTTACTTTATTCAATTTAATTTTTTCAATTTCAAAAACTTAGCAGGAACAATGTTGGGATCCGACTCAACTTGAGTTGGTCGTAGACCACTTCAGGGTAGTCCGATCTTAATTTACGACCAAGCTCGGCATTTCCTCGACTAAGAAATAGTCAAGAAATAATTTAGAAAAAACAAGTATGAAAATTGATTATTTTCTTATGATTTATCGAGTTGTTTATATAGAGCCGTACGTAAAAAAGAAAACGGTGAATGAATAGTCGCCACACAGAACGCGAAAAATTTAGGATACCCTGTCGAGATTTCCTCAGTAAAGTTACAGACTTGTGTATCCATGCAGGTACTTATACAGTGAATGTACTTTTACGGGTACCCCAAACAGTACATACATCAGTAAAATTACTGAGAATTTTCAAAGTACCCATATTGGGTACCCTGCTAGAGCTTTCTCAGTACATGGGTACCCTGAACTCAGTACTTTCTCTAGGGTCTGTTGTCATCTTACACAGTTATGCATACCATAAATTGGTAGGCATTGGTCATTTTTTTCCATAGACATTGTGATTTGTCCGATAATTATCCTATTGCAACTGTTCTATAGACCAATAGAGAGGCACAGGTAAATTAGCGTTTGTAGACCTTATTTTTTTAGTCTAGGTAATAATAAAGTGGCAATTTTGTTTTCTATTAAAGGTACAATGGTTTGGATTCAGATGGTAGTCTTACTAATTTATGTTACCGCCTGTATTATTTTGTTTCCCATGCTTTTATCTAAATACTCGCTGAATCACATTTTCAACAGATTCATCAGACCAGTTCACACAAGCCGATTAAGTATGGACTCTGCTGTTGGTTTGAATAACTTTGTGCCAGATTTGAAAATGTACTCTCTACAACATAGTCGACATTTAGAAGAGAAACTCTTTCCACGATGGATACATGCCGAAAAGATGAAGACTTTGGAATCCTTTTCATATCAAAACGATTCGAAGGGAATCGTAATTTGTACCGGAAATGGGCATATTCTTCTGGCATTAGTCGCCCTACAAGCTCTTCAATCAGTCGAAAATAAACTTCCCATCGAAGTGATGTTCTCCACTTCCAATGATCTTTCACCAAGCAATCAAAGAATGCTCACATCGCGGTTTTCTGAAATTCGACTCGTGGATCTATCGACAATTTTTAATGATAGCTATTTGCAATTGCGAGGTTGGGAAATTAAACCGTTTGCAGTACTGGCATCGCGATTCCAACAAGTTCTTTTGATGGATGCTGATGTCTTATTTCTGGAAAAGCCGTCTGTTCTCTTTGAAAATGAATTATATCTTCGCACGGGTTCTCTATTTTTCTATGATAGACCAGTTTTATCGCCGAAAGTCCTTAAATGGATCAGTAATATAACGATGAATAACATTGGCACTATTCCTCGACGAACACAAGAGTCTGGTGTTGTTGTTATTGATAAAAGTCGTGTTCTCCTGGGCCTTTTGAGCACATGCAAACTGAATGAGCATGAACAACGTGAACAAATCACTTATCAACATCTTCATGGTGATAAAGATACATGGTGGCTTGGTTTTCATCTTGTCGGTATGGCGTATTCGTTTATGCCAACTTTAACAGCTTCGATAGGACAGATTCAGAGCAGAAAGGTATGCGGACACATCTTACATTTTGATCAAAACTATCAGCCCATCTGGTGGAACGGCGGAATGTTTAAGAATCGTTATGTAAATACGCATGATATTCTCTCCATCGAGGGTTGGTTAGAAGAAGGCACATGGACGCTTGAGGTTTTTTCGTGTTTAACCAACCATCGACAAAAACCGAGATTATTCAGCCAACGTCAAAGTCATCTTATTGGAAATTATTTGCAAATTACAAAACATATCTTCAATATCTCATCAGGAAAGTAAGGATGATAAGGATGTTAGAACTGATAACAGACCTAGTCTTTCGAATACGTTGCATCTGTTGATGGCAATATTTATTTTTCCAAAAATCGAGATCGATCAAATGAATAAATACGAAAATCTGTTTTATGTGGTTTGTGAGAAATCATTATTAAAAGTTATTTATTTGCATGGTCTTTATTTTCTGATGACATGAAATCATAGATCAAACTTCGCAGCAGTATAGTTCCTGTTGGAAATGTTGAATATTCCGGTGTAACCACTCTTAGGAATTATTGCTCAAGAACCATAACCTAACTCTAATGTAGTTGCTCAATCGATAATTTTCGTTTTGCGTAAAAGTTATCGGGTGTAGGTGTGTAAAGATATCATGATATCGATATTTCACCTGAGTAACTAGAATCTTCAGAATGTTTTCATAATGATTCGATTTTGGACGAAAAAATCAGGGTTAAGTTAATTCGAAAGAACCGTTTTCGTAGTATTATTGGACAGAATAAAAGAAATGATTCACTTTAAATGATATCGTCAGTTGATAATTTGAATTATTAATATGAGCATTGCCACATTTGTTGTATCTGAAGACGGCTGATTTTCTTTGCATATCTTGCAAATTGTTCAACAGTGCATAATATTGATCAAACTATGCTTAATAAATAAAATTGATTAATATGCAAACAGTTACTCAATGAGTCGTCACTTGGCTTTCGATTTCTCCAAAAACATCAGTGATGGTAATGGATTAATGAATTGTTTGCAAAAATCCTACAAATAATCGTTGAAAAGGGATGTCATTTTCTATTTTTTTTGCTTTGGATCGAAATAGTTTAGCACTGAAAATATCAGAATAATTAGTTGTTAATAAATATTAAGTATTTATCATTAGCTATCTGTAAATGTTTATTAAATCGTGCTTTGGCTTAAACTACTGTGGGTAGGGGTGTGGATTCTATTTGCACGTAGTAACACCCACACCCACCCTTCTTTTCGAGAGTGAAAATAAAAATTTTTCAATATTTTTCTCATATATCGCTAGGTAGGTCTTATCTGGCTTCTTTATCTTTATCGTGAGTATTTTTGTCTGTTTTGGAAAAACAACGAAATCATTGTTGGACTCATTTTCATTAGATAGATGAGTGTCTGTGATATTAATAAAAAAATACAAACGTATTTGACACGAATATATTTATACAATTGAGATATAACAAATCGAATAGGATATGCATGCAGTACCCTATAGAACAGTAAGATTCTTGGATGAAACAAATCAGTATTGATATATAACAGCACAATCTATATATATATTATTACATAGATAAGATTTAAAAATAGATTAAACATTAAACTGATGACGTTCTTGTATTGACAGATCACTCATCATAATCTTTAACTTGGGAATATATTGTTTTGATAACCATTCAATTTTGACATGAACGGTTGCTGTAGCAAAAAATACACATATAGTAATGTCTTCAAGCATTTTACACTTTGTCAAATGACGCTGGTAATTGAAAAAAGAAAATATCATAAATTTCGTACAGATAAAGAGTAGTAAATTAAATCTGTTACTGAATATATACACATAAGAACGAGGATTTACACGAATATATTTGCTTGTTGGCTCTTAAAGTATTGAGATGTGTTTGTTGTTGAAATAGAAGCGATATTAAGTGATGTTATACCAATAGATATAATACAAAGTATTCCAACAAATGTTTCGATCTAAAACAACTTATTAAACAATATACAATAGAAGATATTCTAAATAGAAGTAAGTCGAACACTTTCGTCAAAGTATGAACCATGAATTTCATCTTAATGAATATATGTATTATTTTTCTCAATTCAACTTCTTGAAACAATGACACACTCGTTTATCAAAGCGACATTTTTCTTTTAACTCAAGTTTATTTTAACATGTTTTATTTTCCATTAAACAATTAATCTTCATTTAGACAAAACACACTCTGAATCGTTTTATTATGCAGTATAAACCTTCTTATGCAATCATCTTGGAACGATACCAGATGCATATCCTACTACATAGGAAAAACAGAGTACAATATTATATCCTTGATGTAATGAAAAAATATATTGTAGAAAAACTATTATCTGATAATGCTACTTTGATCTACTTTCAGCTTGATTTGTCGAAGATTCGCTAAAGATTTTATACTCTGTTGTGACTCCTTGGATTTGTTCATGGAGAACAGACTAGAGTGCGAAGAATTGCCTTCTTCAACAAATAGTATAAGACTGAGTCGATCTATGGATGAAAAGGGATAATTTTCTATTAAAAAAATTCTCTCAAGCTCATGTTTATATGTGAGTGAATGCAAATGAAGATCCACGCATGCCTTCATGAAAAATATCGACACTTATTTTGCTGAACTAGAATGAGTAGTGACAGAAACTATTATCTAGAAATATAAACTATTTATTCGGTCCAAAGAAAATTAGACAAACTTGCACATGTAAGTTTTTATTAATATTCGTGATAAAGTATGCTAAATTCTTTATTTATCTACTAAAAGTAATCGATATTGATTATTAAGAGTCGTATCTACGCGGAACTCTATATTAATTTTAATATCATTCGTTTATTATAAACGACTTTTGAACTGACAAAGTCCTTTAAAAAAAAGCAACTTTTCACCAATGACAGCTGGTTTTTTTTTATTCAATACAAGAACTAGATATAAAATATTTGGATAGGATGAAAGTTTATATCTAATTCAAGTCTTAAAGTAAAATAACGATAATATATGAAACCATGCATATCAGGTAGTTATTTTCTTTTCGTACAACAAATTTCGAATAAACTATCATTGAATGAAAACAAAAAAAAAGACTACTTCTTTTATCATTCAAAAAACATCATTATATAATTTTATTCAAGTTTTTATTACAATGACTTCTCACCTGTCCTACTTCATTAAGATAAAGCTCTGTGAACTAATAATTACACTTCTTGCTAGAATACAAAACACGATACGAATCACTTATATTCTCATAATAAGAAATCAGGAGAATATTTATTATTAATATAAAAGAAATTCTGTAAATTGATTTTCATTTAATATTATTTGATCAAATTTGAAAATCTAATTTACTAAATAGTCTACATAAAGTAATTAAACAAAAATGAAAATACATACATTTGATTTACGTATTTACGTTGCATATTTAGGAAACGAAGAATTTATTTTTGAATATAAAAGAATGATTAAACAAATTTTCGAAATAATCAAACTAATTTATTCACATATAAATCAAATTTTGTTTGCAAACAAATTAATCTTAAAATTAAAGGTTCGAATATATATATCAAGATTATTGTTAATATAAAATTTTTAATAAAGCTGAAACTCAAAAGATTATTTGATCGAAATTCTATGTAAACTTTTTTTGTTAAACCAGAAGCTCTGTGCATTTCTCACTTAAGAAAATTTATTTTAGATTTTAAACTTGTCGATCGAAATCAAAAAATAGAAAGGGTAAAATAAAGCCTCTTATATATCATTGAATACTTTATGAAGGGTATGGGATGTGGTTGAATATTATTATCGTGTATATCTAGATCCAGTGCGCTTCTAATACAATATCAAAAGTATTTCACGGCTTAGACATAAAGGCATACAAAGGCCGTTTTTTCCATTTACTAGTTTGCCTGGATCGTCTAAAGTTCATCTTTTTTCGCATTCATATGATAAATTACTAATGAAATAATTCGTTGAGTACTATGAGAAGAGAACCTTTAGAATCGAGTTTCATGACAAGGCCAAACGAAAAACACATATGAGCGTTGTCAGCGTTTTCGTACGACGTGCGCACAAAAGAAAAGAATCGTATGTTGTAGAAACGATTGCATACATCATTCTTTATCATTTCTATTCAAACGAATACGAAAGATCAGATAACGCATACAAATCAACATTCACTCTTCCACATTCTATTCTGCAGTTGGGTTGTTAAGAAAATTTAACTTTCATCATTTTTTGATCGTATCCATCGTAAAATAGTACTGTGAATTTTTTGAAATAAAAAACAAAGTCTCCAGACATTTCGTCAATAAAGCGTTCATTCTAGAGCTCCATCCTCACTTAAAGTATTCGGTAGTATTAGTAGAAAATTCTGGTCGTATAGATCTTTGCTAGTCTTTCTATGCTAGTTATGTTGATACTAAACATTTATTTCATTTTTCTACATTAGTACAGTTAACAAGAATAGTCTATATTCTATCATTAAAAAACATTTCATAAAATAAGTGCATATATTTCTATAAACTATACTAGATTGCACAAAAGACGATTAATTGACACTTCATAGTGAAAAGAGACGAATGTAAATGATGTGGTAAGTACAGACTGCCTTGAACGTCAGAAAAAGCAGAAAAATATTGTTAGAACGAAGATTACCAATACACACAGAAAGAAAAAGTTCAAAAATAATAGAAAAAAACAAAAGAATTATCATTAGAGAGGGGTGTTCTAATTTATCTTTTTTACATCATTTATTTAAGAAAGGAGTCTTCTAGTGTATCGAAGACTATAGAAGATTTACATCTTAACAATGACCATGCTTTCATCTGATCAACTCTTGTCAATTCATGCTGCAACTCAAAAGCTGCTCCCTGATGCTATCAACTTCTTGACAGAACTCGTTCGTATAGACACGAGAAATCCACCAGGAAATAATTATCGCAAAATAGTTGAACTTATTGGAAATAAACTCCAATCTTTTGGCTATGATGTCAAATATGTGTTACTAACTCCAGAAGAAACTGATGAATTGGCACCTCATGGGGAAAAGCTTGAACGAATCAATGTTATTGGTATACTCCCACCTAGTGCATCATCTACCAGTGGAAAGATAATTCATTTTAATGGACATGTCGATGTCGTTCATGAAGGCGATATTTCAAGATGGAACTTCGATCCTTTTGGTGGAGAAGTAAAGAATGGCAAGATTTATGGAAGAGGTGTATCAGATATGAAAGGTGGCATTGCTGCACAAATTTATGCTATTGAGACATTAAGAGCAGCTGGACTGAAACTAAGAGGAACCATTGAACAATCTGCCGTAGTTGATGAAGAATCTACTGGTATTCGAAATGCTGGTATGGGATATCTTGTTGAAAAAGGATATATTACAAAGGAAAAAACAACTGCCGTCATCATTACTGAACCTTTAAACTCTTGCAACGTTTGCTGTGGTCATCGAGGAACGATATGGGGAGATATTATCTTTTATGGCAAATCTTCTCATGGATCGATGCCAGCTTTGGGTGTCAATGCCGTACAAAACTGTGCAAAATTTATTACTATCGCTACAGAGGAGCTAAGCGTTCTTCACGAAACCAAACGCGATCCCAAGGTCATACCAGTCGAAGCACAAAAAGCTAGCCTTGCATTCACAGTTATACAAGGTGGCACCAACACAAATTCCGTGCCAGATATTTGCAAAGTTTCTTTTGACAGACGTCTCGTTCCTGGCGAATCTCTTGATCAAGCTCGTTCTGAAATTCATTCCATTCTTCAACGATTAGCATCCGAAGATTCAAATTTTAAGTATAAATACGAAGAACGATATGCTGTTGAACCAGTATGGGTAGATCCCGAACAACCATTGTCCTGTATCATTCGAAATGCGATTCAAACAGTCACTGGAATAGAATCTGGAGTGGTTTGTTCACCGGGTTCTGATGATCAACGATTTGTAGTGCAAGGAGCTGGGCTGGAAGCTTGCATTATTTATGGTCCTGGAAATATTAAGAATGTGCATTGTTATGACGAAGAATTATCCTTAGAAGACTTGAGAATTGCAATTGAAGTCATGGCCATTGGCACTGCGGAATTAGTCGGGCTGGAATAATTACAAAGAAGCATTTAAAAATAATAAAAATAAGCATGTTGACAATTGTATTGTCATTATCGAACAATGAAGATTTTGACTTATTAGTTTATTTGCAAAATAAAATATATCGAATCGAATCATTTTTTTTTTGTCAATATTCGATCATTTCAATTTCTATGGTGGAAACGTGCAGCATCAGTTGAGCAATCGCAATTTCTTTGTTTTTAGACTGAATATCAAAGGATAGATATCTCACACCTAGAGCCGCAGCCATACCTATCCCGCAAGTGTTTGATGAATTTTGTGGAACTCACATATATTTTCGAAGAAAATAGTAAGTGTAAGTTTTAAGGTCAAGTTTTTGCGGCTCCCCCTCCCCATTACAGACACATAGCAACGAAAAAGAACATTACATGCATACCCCCTTTCCCTCACTACAGATAGTTCCCCCTTACAGACCATAGCAACTTCACAAAAAAAGATTGTACTCGAAGTATATAAATGAAAAACGACAACATTTCCTAACAATCAATTATCCTTAGAAAAGAATTATCGTCTCTGAGAGAATATAAACATTATATATGTTGCCATCAGCAGAGTGAAAGTAAAGAAGATATGTGAGTTCCACATTTCAGCCCCAAAGGGGCTGCGCTAACAAGCTTTTTACACGAGCTATTTGAAAAAATTATCTTTTGTTATGGAGATGTTTAAATTATTCTGTAAGTACATCGTCAAAGACTGATAATTTTTGCGGTTCTTTGTGACATCTATACCCAGGACGAACAATCCAACATTCGGATCCTATCGGAAAAATTATCGGATTTTATTGAATCCGATGGGAATTCGTTGGAAGCTATCGGACGGCGGAAAGTGTCGGAATGGCCAGGATCCTGTCGGAACCCTGAAAATCCGACACTTGTCGGCTTCCGACGAATTTCCATCGGATTCGATGGGGTGAGTTCGACCTAGGGGTGCAACGGTGACGATTAATCGTTCACCGTTCTATCGTAGTACAGAAGAGCAGTGAAATGATCAACCGGTGAAACGATCCCCGGTTACACCGATCAACTGGGTGGGGTGTGGGTGGGTGTGGGTGGGTGGGTGTGGATGTAGGATGGGGGTGGGGATGTAGGATGGGGGTGGGGATGTGTGGGTCTGTGGTTGTGAGTATGAATGTTCATTGCGTCTTTCCACCCATATCCTCGGTGTAATCGAAGATCGTTTCACCGGCTGATCGGTGTAACCGGGGATCGTTTCATCGGTTGATCAGTGTAACTGGGGATCGTTTCACCGGTTGATCGGTGTAACCGGGGATCGTTTCACCGGTTGATCGATGTAACGGGGGATCGTTTCACAGGTTGATCGATCTGATCGTTCACCGTTTCGGAGAGGTGAAACGGTGACGGTGAAGCGATCATTGATCGTCACCGTTGCATCCCTAGTTCGACCTGGGTATCTCTTCAAGAATATATCTATTTTGCTTCAGATTTCGATTTTAAGTTCATCATTCGCTTAGGTATTTCTCGTAAGAAAAATCAACTCAAATGAATGAATCGTCAATGCGTTGGTCCATACTACCAAGTTCATGGCAAAATTGTCATTTATTTTGTATTTTGGGTGTGTGGGTGTGGGTGTGGGTATTGATTTTTCGGTTCATAAACAATGAAAAAAATCTTGCGATACGTTACCCTTTTTAGCATAAAAAGGGTATCTTATCGCAAAATTCTTTTTTAGTGCACATCCACACTCACATCCGTTCTGTGTCTTTCCTTTTATGAATGGTTTTATTCTGACATACTAATGATGCTAATAGCCCGAACGTTTTTGTCATTGCAAGATGTATTTGATGAGATTAGTCGTAAGACTTCTCTTTTTCTGTTATGAAAATAATGGCTTTTAAAAAACAAAACGTTAAGCATTTAGCGACCAACAATTTCATTATTCGGCTGTACAACACTAAAACACGTTTTGTCGTTCTGAACTCATTATGTTAAAATGTATCTTTTAGGTTTCTAAGTTAAATGTAAAAAAATAATAATATTGAAGTGACTTGTATCTTCTAAAACAGTCATTATTCCAGGCAAAATAAATATATTCTTATATCAGATTATTCGCCTCTTTCCAATATATAAATGTCATGGTCAGAGACGTGAAACATCTATAAAACAGACTTTGGTATATAACATCGTTAAACGCAACGATCACCACATGATACTTGAAAACTCATTAACCGTTTGAATAGTTGAGAACTTATAGGTCTTGTCAAAACTTATCGAGTGCTGCATAAATTTATTTGCCTCCAACATTCAATGATTCAATTTCATAATCTAAAGTAAATGACAATAAGCAATTAAAATGGAACGGATGGCAAGGCACTAAGAAATTCAATAGTACTTCATAATTGAGCTTTACATATGGGCTTTAATAGAGCCGGACTTAGATTTACGCATTTCTATGACTTTTTATCATCTTGTCGTTTGTGTTTTATTTTTCCATTTGATCAATTAGCTCATTTTCTTTCTCATCACGTTCAAATGCGTCATTTATATACACATTGCTTCGCTACTAATTCTTGTTGTTTATAGATATTGCAGTTTCTTGTCAGTCTTGATTAAAAGAATTTTTGTATACAGACAAAAATTTGAATAGATAGGAATTATTCTATATTGGAAAAAATTGCTTTTTTCAAATCATGTGTGCCTAAAAACTGTATAAATGATCTTTTTGTTGACTATTTGTTCATATTTATTCAGTCGAACTAATTGCTGTTATTTTCTAGTTCTTCGAGCAGTATGCTTATTTTCATTGTTTCAAATGTATACATACTGTAGGGCTGTAACGAAAGATTAATGATCAAATACTGAATAAACAACTAAAGCAATCAAAATTCGTCGCGAACAAAAATTCAAACTTTTTTGTATCTTATTTATCAATTGTATCTGTACAGGTTCTGTAAAACAAAATGTTACGAACATACTATTATGAAAAGAATATAATGTTCATCTGCAACAAATCAACATTAAATATCTTTTTTGCTTGTATTCTAGAGTAAACAAAGCAATTTGCCGTATTATTTTTCTTCTTTCTCTATTATTTGGACAAAGTTTCACTCTATAACCGAGTTTTGCGTTGTGCACTTTGCGCAGGAAAAAGTCTATGTATTATCAGAAGCCATTTTCTATTGTGTTTGTATTTTATTACAACAACAAATAATTTTTCCTCTCACGCAAAAATATCGAGTCATTTTGAAAAATAAAATCATTGTCGACCAATATTTCATTCTGTTGATAGTGACTGAAATTATTTTAACAGTTACTAGGTCAGTTTAGCTGATCAGTATAGACAGGTAAAGTCATATTCTCGTGTCTCGTGTGAGAACTAGTCTCCAAACAAGTAGACGCAGTATGTATATATATATATATGCACTTTTATTGTGCATTATCTCTTCCACACCGAAGCCAAATTGCATCTTCCTAGGTCATTTCATTACTAAGTATTGTAAGCAATCGCTTCGAAAAAATTATTATTTTTTAGTGAAATAGATGCATAAAAACGCATAGTGTGATTCAAGAAAAACGATGCTTTATACTTCGGTTCGTAGAACGTTTGATGTCTATCAACAGCTATAATTAATACATTTTCACATTTTTGGATAATTACTCATCGATCATACATATTACTTGACAAACACTTTCATTTTTTCGTAGAGTGACACTAAAATCGTCTCTTATGCAGGCTCCTCACAGCTGAAGATGATGAATTGCTTCTCATCTTGTTCAATTTGAAGAAAGAAAATTCATCTTTTGAAAGTTAGTCTTGTTACTAATTTTGTACAGTGACATTTTGAAAATTTATCAGTCGTTCAAATTTTAATCTTCAATTTTGTTTTGTTTCGCAAAAATGTACACCATATCACGAAACGTAGAATGCGATATTCTTTTTAAAACGTTTAAAGTAACACAAAAATCATTTCTATTGCTGACTATGTTATGGCTGATGACAAAATAACCGTGAGATAATACAGATAACTGTTAATGAAAGAAGCTATGAAGAAATAATTCTTCTAAGTGTATGAAAATAAGCCTTTTTTCTTATTGTAGAATGATATTTTCAGAACTGTTTCATGTATACTTATGGAACGGCTAACATGATTGGCTATGAAGGATGAGGAACGATTAGTAGTCGATTCAGCTCTATTCGAAAGCACAATTCTTTTAATCTGAAATTTTCAGCAAGTGCAGATCAGTTGTTTACTTGTCATTCCTAGAACTTTCAGCTTGGTCGGTCAAGCTTTCATTATACTTTGCTGCTTTACCAGAAATATATTTTTATACCCTTTAAGAGAGACAGTTCCAGACAAAAATATAATCATTTCTGTGTGGATACTTATATAGTATTCGATAGAGAATTAAATTTTGAATAACACTATGTATTTTATATATTATGATTAAATAAAAAATCGATTATGCCAATGAGAAATTGTTAAATTATGGACTAAACGTACCAAAGAATCTAAATGTAGTTTTGTTAGCTTGAGAATTAACATTGAATTCTGATTATTTTCCACAAGTTTATTTTGAGTATGGTTGTCGATGCGGGTTCGGGTTTCGTCGTGAAAGTGATTTTGATTCTTGAGGTCGTCCAAACCTACACTCACATTCACGCTGACAATCACAGCCGTCATCGAAACCTACAGTTAAGCTCCACACGCGAACCAAAAGCGATAATTGCAGTCATACCTACATCCACACTCTGTTATATCATTACTTTATTAGTTCGTTACTTGCTTAGTTTATTACTGCGTTTCACCATTCCATCGGGAGTAGCGAACTAATTCAAGAACTGAGGAATGAAACAATTTCATTACTTCGTTCGGTGACTTCACTACTGTGTCACTCCTAGACGTGTGCCAGGTCCGAGCTACTCGGGCTCAGCTGAGCTATATCTAACGTTGACTCGACGAAATTTGGTTCAGGTTCAATTTTAGCTCTCTCTTCTCAATGAAAGCTACCACGCCTTATTTTCTCTGATGATTCATGTTGAATTTCAGGTTTGCACCGAGTTCAACACTTGACATCGACTCGAATTAAATTGCAACAATTCAAATTCTTAGAATTGAAATTAGTGTATCCCTACTTTCAATGCACCTATCATTGTATAAGAAAGAACTTTCAGTATATACATCGCAATGGTATGACTAGATAACAAAAACAAATAAATAAGGTATTGACAAAAGTACAAAGTTTAGATAACTAGCACCAAGATAAATCAAGACAGAACGACCTCAAGCCTAACCGAGCCCGAGTAGCCTGGATTAGGCTCGGGGTCGATACATATTTAGTCACTTCGTTACTTCGTTATTGCTTCAATGTATGGATGCTCATGTAAGTGTGAGTGAGGGTCGAGGTATAAGTGTAGATTAAGGTGTGGATGTGAATGCAGTTATCGATCTTTTCTTTACCCTAGCTCAGATCCATATCTTTCGACTCCACGCCTCATTTATTGCATTAACTATAGCGGCATTTTCACTCACATCACTTGCCCCACACCCACACATGCCTCTATCCACCATACCAACATATCTCGTGTAGCTCATTCGATATTTAGTATATGTTACTAACAAATTGTATATTTTTTCCAAATCAGATCTCTCGGAAGATTATAATTTAACTGTAAAAGTGCTGTTTTGTGAAAAAAATAAACGCTTAGTTAATTTTTAATAGAAAAAAAAAGAAATATAATGTTGTTTTCCATAGAGTAAATTTTGTTTTAGCAGTCTTTCCATTTAACTCTTCTATTTGGGAAAAAGCTTAGGTATTCCAACAATGCACCCTATTATAGAAAGAATCTTATTTCTATCTTATTTCATTGGAAATCTTGTGACTACCATTTGAAAATTAAGATATGGCAGCTCTGCTATTACTTTTCAATCGGCTGTTATTATAGCAAATTCTTTTGTGTTTCTTTTAGGTTTCGATTCGTTGAAAACAAATTGTAACAAAATGATCATTTTCATTTTGACATTTTTATTGTGTTCTGTTTTCATCGAAGGAGATCACTTCAACGGTGGTACCATTCGATGGACACCGATAGACCCATATGACAGTTCAAGTTCAGTTGGTGTCACTATCACACAGTCGTATTGGTGGAGCGATCCGGCTGTGTCTTGCGTAACGGATGTCCCTATTTCCACTAGTGCCTACAACGGTACAAACATGAATTTAACTTGTGTTGATTCTTGTTCAACAGATGGTGGCTATTCCAATACACCGATTAATATTTTAACCGATTGTATCTCAAGTAGTTCGGCGCTTGGCACAATGGCAAGTGAAAGATTAAGTAATATTACTCTTTCTGCTGATGCAACTTTTTCTATGGCATATCAAAGTAGCTATTGGCCAAGTTTGAATGATCCACCACTAGGTAATTTTAGTTGGTCAATGCTGTGCTCCATTGACCTACGGATGCGGCCCGATGGTTTCATGAACACTCCGCCACTAGCAACTATCGTATCCCCACAATTTGTGATTGTTAATACAACAACTACGATCCAAATACCGGTATCGGATGTTAACTCAGGCGACGATGTACGTTGTCGATGGTCTGTACATCAACCTGGATATCGTAGACGAAGACGCTCCTTTGAAAACGATGACACAATGCATTTATATACTACATATATGTATCCCAATTTAGTTGCTGATGAAGAAATTGCTCATATTAGAAGAAAAAGATCGTGTGTAAGATGCGGGTCTACTGTGTGTCTTGTTGGTTGTAATTGTGATTGTCCTGGTTGTAGAGGAACTACTTGTACGAATAACACATGTACAACGAATCCTTCATGTCCTGTTCGACCTACAACAACAACAAAAAGAACAACTATATCTTATCCCAATCATAATCCAATTGACGAATGTGGCGATATTTGTTATCCAAATGCTGTACCGGCCAATACAACATTATATAATTGCAGTGTAACACTGACGGGTCTTACAGTCGGAATATGGTATGCAGTGGCTGTTCAAGTAAGTAATGATAAAATGTCATTTAAATCAGTCCTCTTCGACTCAAGCATTCATTGACCTTGCTCACTCAACTATGCTATTTTTGATACTTGTGTGGCTAGATAGAGGCTGCACGAAAAAGTAACATATGCATTTCTCATTTAAATCAGGTGAAATATTATATTATTATCATATTCAAAGTGTAAAATACTACGATGTTTTACGAATAATTCGAGAACGCAGTTTATTAGTTTGTGACTTATGCTTTTCACGATTAGCAGTAGAATATATCGACTTCGGCATAAAAGTATCAAACACTGATCAATGTTCAGTGTTGGACATTTCTCGAACAACTTATTTGCAAGTTTTTCTATTCAATTTTGAGCACTAAGTTGTTGAAACCATTAAAAAAAGTAAGCTAGCTTTTTTCATCAGCACAACCTAAACCACAGAATGTTTAGTCAACCTAAGCATCATCTAGATAGAGTTAATTGATCATGCTAAGTCGATATGAAAATTCATAAGCTAGATCTAATGAAACATTGACTTGGCGTCAGCCAGATAAGCGTTTGCTACAAACTGTGATCAAACTGTCCTGAGTCACTGAAAACAAAACTCCATAGTGAAGTGCACTTATTTGATCCACTTCACTTCATAAGACTTTCAAAGATTAGTTCATAGTGAAGTAATCATAAATGAGAAATAATGCATAGACAAATCTTTTTAAAAGATTACAAAACTCTGGCTTTAATTTACTACTTCTACTATATACTATATGTTTTTGAGTAGCCAAACAATGAATTAACATTTCATACCAATATTGTTTTAATGAAATAAACCAGCAGAATCATAAAAAAACCTGCTTGAATAGAGCAAGCTACCAAAGTCAAACCAGTCTGAATCAAATGGCCTTGACTTTCTCTATCAAGTAATCCTTTTCGAAATTAAGATAGACTAACTAGAATAAACAATAAGCATAAGATTTTTGACATACCCAACTCAGCCAAGAAATATTAAGCACTATCCGATTTATTGATTCATACATAGACACATATCATGTCTGTACATGGTAACAGAAATTTATTTGAATATTTTAACAAGTGATATCTGAGACAATAATTGATTGATGTAGAAAAATTGTACATTCTATCAAATTCTGCTGAACCAATGCAGTAAACATTGCGATACCATGCTAAATACACTCTAGAAATAGGATTTCTTAAAAAACTACCAAAACAGCTCTGCGAGCGTTCGGAAACCAACACGGGTTTACGCGATCAGTTGGAAACCCATTTCGGTTTCCGAACGCTGGAAAACCAATTTTGTTAGACTTCCAAGCAAAAATTTTATTGAATGTAGTAGTGATGTTACAGACGAATTCATGCTATTCACAGACAAAATTAGTAACTTATCATGTTTAAGGGCAAACAGTATCCTTTCAGTTCTAATTGGGGAAAATATTGTGCAATTATTTTGGAATGAACTACTGTTCACACCAAACAGGGCAAAGATTTTTCGTTATTGAGCAAATTTTCCTGTTCAGAGAACAAGTGTGTTTACTTTCTGGTCACACAAGTCTTTTGAGATAATTGAGTTCTTTTTTTACAATTGATTTTTGACTTAAAATCTTGACCTGTTACGTACTTAATGATATATTTTTTATATTCTTTTTGAACAATTAACCGAACATTTTTTTTTTCAAAGAAAAAACACTTGTAAGAAATTGTTCTCATTATCAACGAGTCGAAAACAGTACTCGATATAAATAGTAGTGCAGAGCTCTAGGAAATATTAGTTAAAAATGTAAAGTTAGAGGATTTCATAAAATAATGCTAGCGAAAGTCATGTATTTTAATAACTATCCTGCGTCATTACAATCTACTTTATTCTATAGGTGGAAGATTTCATCAACAAAACTAGTGTCGATCCGATGAGTTCTGTCCCAGTTCAATTTCTCGTTTATGTGATGCCGACACCAGTATGCTCATCGCCACCAATCATTCTTCCTATAAATGGCTGTTTGGAAGTGCAAGTCGGTGTTTCAAAGATCTTTACTTTATTTGCTATTAATCTATGTGATCCTAACATCTCAACAATCATTGATATATTGCTATCACAACCAACTCAAGGCGTTCAAGTTAGTAATCTAACAGATTCAACAACAAACACATCACTCGTCTATAAAACATTCACTTGGACTCCTGAAAGTAGTCAAATTGGGTCTCAAACACTGTGTGCAACAGCCTATACTGAGTATTGCTTTTATATCTAGTTTTTTGCTGACGCTATTGTTTGCTTTTCTATTTTCAACTAGTGAATTTTTACAATCTACATTATACTGTGTCACGTTCACCGTAATTGCGACAGGCACACCCTGCGCAACGACAATCCCTGGGATTGCAGTCAATACAACAACTATTGATACGACCGGTACCACTGCAACTACAACTACGACAACGACAGATACGACTACAACTACAACAACGACCGACACCACTACAACTACAACAACAACAGATACCACTACAACTACAACGACGACAGATACCACTACAACTACAACAACGACCGATACCACTACAACAACGACCGATACCACTAC